ACTGAATAAACTGAATCAATGTGACAAATAATGCTTATTGGAGCTTTAAAATATCAGCTATTGCTATAATGAAATGGGTTCAAGACAAATGCGCTCAACTGACAAGTGGAAAATGTGTGTTTCTATTATCTATTATTATTGTTTATCTCTTTTTTTCTTCTCTTTCTTTACATTCTGTAAAGCCATCTCCTGATCCTACTGTACATTTATCACCAGCGAGTTTATTGGCTTTCTGCTCGGGTTTTTCCAATCATCCTGTATCCACTAAAGGGGGATACTGTTTGCTGTGTGATCACACCCCGATGAAGGCCGTTTGTGCCGCTACGCGTGGGCTGCATCCCTGCTCTGCTTTAATATGCACACGCATTGTTTTGTATCTGCATTTGTCAGAAGGCTGCCTTAGATCTTTTTCCTTTTTATAGAAATTGTATTTGTTGTATGTCATTACTGCGTCTCTAAATATATTATTATTATTGTAAGCATATTATTAAAGATCTCAATTGTTTTGACACATATTGGCAAAAACTATAAGTGCTTGAAACACTTTATGCCTCCAGGCAATGAGCATTTCATACCAAACTACTTCATTTCCATCCTTAAAATCTTTGATGTTATTTAGCTTTGCTGGTCAATCTGTGTGTTTTTTCACAGAACACATTTTGACATTTTGTAGCAAAAGAAGACGAAGGCAACGTGACCCAGTAAGCCATGTCGCTGACAGAGTGTGCTGCCATTAACACCTGTGCCGTGCCTGCTAAATCATGCTAAAAAGCCCTCCTGAAAACATCACTAAGTCCAGCAGTAAGAGTCACGATTAAAGTGCACATTCAGACTTTTTTTCATTCCAGTGGCAAAAACCTTGACAATGAGAAACTGATTGTGTCCAGCTTCAGTCCCAGTGTGTCCTCCCTTGTCGGTTGGCTGCAGTGGACCTTCACCCGTCAGCAGCCAGTAATTACATACTAGCCTACTGCTTCAGTACTACCGTTAATAATCAGATTAACTCTGCTTTCAACAGGCCTTAGAGTCACTTTAAAGACACTTCAACCTGCGTGTTCGCATGAAACAAAAATAGAAAAGTCCATTTATGCTTTAGACACGTCTGCTGATGCTGAATATGAGCATGCCTGACTTGCTCAATTTAGAACTGAAGATATGCTCTCTGCTGCACTACACAAGCAGTCTGAATATTCTCAGCTGTATTCAGCATTATCCAAAAGAGCAGCAAACAAGTCAGCATTCAAAGAAGGCTGAATCAGTATGCGCTGAACTTTAAAGCTGTTTCATCGAGTATCTTATACAGCATGCACAGTAGTATTTTGCAGTACTTGTACGTGGAAAGTTGCCCTACACACTCCTTTTGCTTAATCAGTCCCACTGTCAGCGTTGTGTGGGCAGGCGTGATTGCCACTGACCCTCCAGTTGTTGTACCTGTTCAGATGGTAGAAGATACAACTTTATTTGAGTCTCATATCAGTTTATGTAATGTCCTATATCAGGTTTATTGTTCATGAATAGCACTGTTAATTATTGGTAGAGTGTGACCCATCGCAGCACTAAATATACTCGTGCACATAATACCATATAATACTAGAAAGTCTTTTAAAAGTAGCCATCAGTGTATAAAATAAAAAAGACAATTGCAAAATTTGCACAACAACACAGCTGTAACAAATAAGAAGAATTAGCTACAATGCTGCATCAATTTTTTTTTGTTTTACCAACGGCATCGATAAATACTTGAAATGTGAAATTGCTCAGCCGTAGTGACAAACCAACAGACAACTACTGGCTTATTTCCTAGAAACATCTGTAGCTCGGCATAAATTCACAGACTATTTAAACATCTTTCAGCACATTGTTTTGGTTTTTCACTGTTTCCATTGACTCCCGTGGCTCTCATCGGCAACATTTACAGCTACAAAAAACAGCATTGTTACGAAACATAATGTCAAGTAGCATAACATAAGTCAGTCTGATCTGCTATACAGTCCAATTACCACACAGTCTTTTTAAACTACACTATATGTTGTTTAAGCTTCATGTTACGTTTCTTATGCTATGTGTTGTAACACAATGGTTGTGAAATCATAAAATTTCACCCTGCTGTGTACTTTGTGTACGTCTGAGATGACATTAGAGTAAAATTGGAACTTGAAGCAGCAGCAACAACAAAAAAAAATTAAAAACATTAAACACAAAAAAAATCCTAAAAACATACTGTACACGATGTCTTTGTGATTTATTTATTTATTTTTTACCAAGGAGGTGGTAGGTACCAAAAACAGAGCTAAAAACAAACAGTAAATGATGGATTTTGGTTTGTCTTGTTGGCAAACTGCTGGACAGTTTGTTAACATGTTCATTAATCTGAAAGGTTTTTCGATGCCAAAGTGGCAAACCAGCAAACAATCATTAGGTTTCAGTTCACATTATACATTTTGAGCTGAAATGCTTTTAAGATCTACTCATTACCCACTTCACTGACCTAATTTAAGTCCCCTAGACATTAACTAACTAACTGGAACAAGTATTGAACAATTCAGGTGACGTCCGTTAATGGAAATATGATAGGCTACAAGTGTGCCATGACGCATCACTCAAAATGTTCTAGATAAACCATCAAAGACACTTTGTTTGCACAATTAAATTGATTGTGATCTGACATATTAGGAGAGTCAGAAACAATTTATTGTCCGAACTTAATCTCTTGAGTTGAATCATTTTAAAAGAGTTGATAGCATAATGATTGGCCTTGAACGCTGATAATTTGGTTTATTACAGGTTAGGAACAGAGTCCTGGCAAGTCATGAGACAAATGTTCAACTACTGAATATGAGTCTTGTTGATTTGCCAAATCACAAGATGGTTTCTTTTTTGTCTTTATATATTTATGTTGTTGTTGTTTATATATTTCCTTCTTGTTTAACTATGACCAAATCTATACATGTACTTGAGTTGGTAGGTAGTTCAATTGAATGTAACATGTTTAATTCATATTAATTATAAGTGGAAATAAAATGTACTGTCATGTTAGCTGCATGGTGTTGAATCAGCATACAGATTCCTTGTGAACAGTCCCAGAGGCATTTTCTTGCAAACTGTCATGGTGCAATAAAAGCCACTGTAAAAGATTCTGATGAACCAAACCAGAGGCTTTTTGTTTCTTATTAATAATGGACAACCAAAATTAAATACCCCTCATAGCTCCTAGACCATGGACTTTATAATGTCAGCGGCTTTTGTAGCTGCTATCTGCTCCAAAGCAAGTTTCAATATTTATGTTTACTGTCGTGTACACTGTTGTACCTTATCATAGTATTTAATTCTGTGCTTCCAGTGCTCTCCAACTTTGCCTTTTGAATTATGCAACTACATGTCTGTGACTGGGGCAGAAATATGGCAAAATTCTGGAGAACTAAAGATAAAAATGGGTTGCACTTTACCTGAACTCCAGAATCACACACTGATAACAGAAAAACTACCTTGCGACCAGCTGCAGTGCGTGGTACATGGCTTGTTCATTACTCCACTTTCAGCGGGTCTTCAAATATTGCTCATAGAGCAGAGAAGCCCTTGATGTTTGTCACAAAGAGATGAAATCTGGACATAATTATATGTTTCATGTTGCCAGTGCACTCACTAAGTTGACACGTTACTCAGCCTGACAAAAACTCAGTGTGCTCATTAAAGCTGGCAAAAGTGGTGTATCTAATATAACTGAATATGAGATATTCTAAAGGCGCAGAACTCTTAAAAGTGTTGCCTCTATGGATCATTTAATAAGTCGCTCATTTTACGATGAAAAATCTACAATAATCATCGACAGACAGTGACACAACTGGGCCACCATTGTCCACTGCACTGACACCTAGTCATAATTAATAATCATCAAGTAATAAATACAACTATAAAGCACGTGGTTAAAGTCTCCCTGTGATATGACTGTCCTGTACTTGAAGTCCACTGCTGCTCCCAGACCTCATAAACACAGGAAGGGCAGTGTTCAGGTACAGCAGCGTGGGTGGTGATGTGGGAGGACCAGACGCTTTGATTGAACTTACAAGGTCAGAGGACGGCAGCACATGTAGGACCATTGCCGGCTGTTTAAGGCACCATGTGGTGGAGTTTTTACCTAAGTCATACCTACGTACTCCAAGTTGCATTTCAAATGTCTTTCAAAGTATTTCCAATTCAAAAACAGCTTCTAAAGGCATTTTATTCCAAAGGTTTTCCTTTATTTGTTTCCATGAAAACTAATGGAATCAAGATTGAACCAGCTTATGTTGCTGCAGTTACAAAGTTAAACTTTACTTGGTGTTTCAGTCTGAAGTCCTCCCTCACAAACTTGATGTTCAAAGGCGCATCAGACATGCAAGTGGGAATCTTTTCTCCTCAGGAAGCCTTTTCTTTTAGCGCACTCACTCACAGTGAATCTCAGAACACATGCATGACCTGCAATATCTAAGCTGAGTATCAGATAAACTGATTTAAATGTCCTATCAGTGCCTACAAAAACTCTGGCTTCTGGTCAAATCTGGATTATTGACATAAGTGTTGCATCTAGATGAAAAAAAAAAAAAAAAGCAACAAAACTTCACTTTAAAAATAGCAATTATTTTATTTACACATTATTTTTTTAAATTGTTATTTACATTATTACATAGTCTTAAATACTGAAAGATAACAACATATGTTAATAATGCATCTTAAATGCTACATTAAACATCTGAAATGTTCAAAGTTGACAATACAACATGTCATATAAAATATAAAAATGTCATCACATTCGCAACCACCCATAGTTATGTCATAGCAGACAGCGAGTCTGAACAATAAATTGCAAACATTAGAAAATAACATCACATGCCCGGCAACAGTAGGTTCATAAAGATATATGCAACACTTCTGTTCTCCAGCATGATAGCAACAGTGTATACTACAGTGCTCAGAGTATCATCCAATAAAGGAGAATCGATGACATACCGCAACCTGAGAAGTGATGAGCAATTACAAGTGTGCTACAAGTACATTATTGCATTTAGCCTTGCTTACAGGTACAAATTTAACTTAATAATATTAAAGATGTGTTGCTTTAACGTACTCCGGATCTTCGTCTTTAGACAAGGCCGGATTATCGTACATCTCCAGGCTCTTCATGCTGTTGCTCCTGATCTTTTCATCCTCCTCCTCCTCTTTTTGGCAGCAATGGCAGCATTTGCAGTTGCAGCAGCAGCAGCAGTGTCTACCACAGAAGGCAAAGGACGAGGTTACCGCTCTGTCCCAAGGTGCCATGGAGTGCAGGGGCCGTGGCAAGAAGTTCCAGTTGCGCAGGACCCTGGGCAGGAAGCGGGGGCAGCGGGACTGCATCACATTGACGATAATCACAAAGACAGCTAGAGCAACGATTGGCACGCCGACACCAACCATGACTTTCCAGCCTGCCAGCGACAGACCCAATATAGACAGAGGTAAAACCAAGAAGCACAGGATGAGGTAGAGGGCAGCAAACCAGCGATATTTGGCGGTTCGGTTGCCGAGCCCTCTGGCCAACCTGATGGGCACCCGCATGAAGGGAATTGGGTACCACAATAGGATGCCCATGATGTTGAAGAAGAAGTGGCAAAGGGCAATCTAGACAAAAAACACAAAAATACATTACATTCAAACTAGGCTTATTAAGTAAGATAAAGTGTACAGCACTGCTGGCAGTTCACTGAGACTGTAGATAGGTGCTAAAATCCTCACAACACGTTAGCATTTAGCCCTTGCATATTGATGTTTTGCCACATTTACTGATGTTGAGCATGCTAACATTTGCTTATTCGCAGCACACACAGAGCGAACTGAGCTGGAGGGATTGTGTTAGTTTTGTACGTATATGATCATAAACAAATGTACCGGACAAATTAAAATTTGACCTGATGACTAAGGCTGCAACTACCTTAATTTTATTGTCAGTTAATCTGTCGGTTTTCTTGATTACTTGTTTGACCTATTAAATGGTGAAAAAGAAAAGATAGCATCCTCAAGGATAATTTGTTTTACTGTCATAAAGGAGGAAAGAAATAAGAGAATTTTGACCTATTTTTCATAAAACTATTCAATCAAATGAACTGAGGATCAAAATATTTGGTGATTATTGTAAGACCCGACAACTTCTCTGGACGAGCTCTACTGATGATAGCACGAGGGTGTTACATCATTTTGGAGGGAATGTAAGTAGCAATCCATTGTATCTTTACAACTGACTTTACAAGCAACAGGTTTAAATGGGATTTGCTCTGCACTTGTACTTTTCCACCATAGCAGTACTTTAAGTGCTTTCCACAATTTCCCAATACCAAAGGTGGCAGAGCTGCCATGCAAGTTTTTGCTATAGGGATTACTTTGGGTTCAGTGTTTTGCTCAAGGACACTTCAGTATGTTTATCACATTCCCAGAACAGATTTTGATTAGTTATTTAATAAATGCACCCTTCAGGGGATCAAACTTATTACAACGCATTTCCTGGAGACAATGAATACCAGGGCATGTTTTTCTTTTTTTTTTTCTTTTTTTTTCTGGCAATCCATCAAAATACTTTTGTATTTGAGATGTTGCATGAAAAACCAACAAACCTCATCGTCATCAAAGTAATCATAATCTGTGCAATAGTTGTACTTATATTTCAGTCGGGACAAACCAACATTGCTTGCCTTGCTGCTCGCATGGCTGTAAACAGTCACATAAGGGTAACTCTGAATTGCATCTTACCTGCAAGGAGTTGGCCAACGTTTCTCCAGGGCTGGCCATTGCAGCAAGTATAGCAGTGGTTGTCGTACCAATATTGGACCCCAGGGTCAGAGGATAAGCTCTTTCAAGGCTAATGACACCAATACCTAGTGAAAGATTTACACAATTTAAGGTCTGGTGTATTACCAAAAAAGGACAAATGAAAGGAAAATAAATGTACTAATGGCGACTTACCGACAAGTGGTGTTATAGCTGAGGTGAAGACGGAGCTACTCTGAACAATGAAGGTCATCCCTGCACCCACCACAATTGCAATATATCCAGTAACCCAACCGAAGGGGAAGGGGAAGTCTGTAGTAAAACAGAAACACAGGAGGTGAGCAATAAACCCGATGAAGTGAACACGGTGTGATTGCTCGCATTATGACCACATAAACACAGCAAATGAGGATTTCTATCAAAACAGTATTTGTGCCTGAGCTTTCTCTGTCACACAACAGGATTGCCGGTCCTGGAGGCGAGCCAGAAGCAACAGGAAGGCTGTACCTGTGTTGCTCATCAAGCATCACCACCGAAGCAGATGTGCCGACTATCAAACAGGATGCATGGAGAATACAGAGAAGATGCTCATTTGTAGTGTTTTCGTACCTGTGTTGAGCACCTTCTTGATGACCACAGCCACCTGTCCCTTGAGCATGGAGTTGAGCAGCTTGACAATGAGGACGAGGCAGGAGCAGAGGACTAACAAAGACAGAGCCAAGAGGATGAGGCCCACTGCCAGGTCTGGCAAGTCCACATTGACGAAGATGTGTTTGCCTGCAAAGAGATGATTGACATTTAAGTGTCCACTCTAGGCTTGCATTATGTGATGACTAAAAATAGCCTCATGCAGATGACTCACTTCAGAGCAAAGCACTTTGATAAATGAAGCTGAAACAACAAGAATGTTATTTTGTGACATACAGAAGGCGATTCATCCGTGTTGGGCACTAGCAGCATTACTAGATCAATTACATGTCTCTGTAGAGTTTTCTTAATCTCGCTGTTTCCCTAATCAAAAGGCTTTTCAGTAGTGAAGCTCAGCTATTGGTTCAGTAATGTCAGAGCGTCTGTACTAAGCGGCAAAATTTGGAGCTAAAAAATAAAGGCAACACAAAAGTGAGCAGTATGTGCAGTTCCTGGCTCCAAAAGCAAGCCAGTCCCCATAGACCCCCCACATGATGAAATGTCAAACCTAACAGTAGAAGTAAACACGTTTACAGCCTGGTACAAATGACAGCTGTACAAGAGTGAATTTAAAAAAACAAACTCACCCCTTATAACTATAATAAGGCTAAAAGTTATGCAGGATTTAAGGCATGGCCGCTTTGAGCAACAGGTGGGTGCCTTCACAGGACAGTTTATTGCCCCGAGACGTTTACAAGACCCGCTTTAGCTATATTTACACTCCTCCGGATGTTAGTAGAATTTAGGCACTGTCAAGATGGCCACGGCCAAACTACCACACTCAGCTTCAAATCTGCTGTTCAGGAAACCTACGAGTGACGTCACGGACGGTTTGTACAACCACATATGTACAGTCAAAGTACATTTCTGAAGTAACAGGCACAGCAGAGCTTTCAATGCAGTCTTAAATAAAACCAAGAATCAGTGCACAATGCCACCGATCACCGAGGCATGCACCGATCAGCTGCAACATTAAAACACTGTGGCATCCCCCAACATGAGCCTGATTTATAGAGGCTCTACCCTGCAACCCAAATGACCCACAGGATCTGCTACTCAAGTCCTGGTGTCAGAAACCACCAGACACTCCCATAAGTCTAAGTGTATCTTTGCCCCGATAGGTAAGAGCTGTTTTGTCAGCATAAGGGGGACCTACACAATATTAGGCAATTAAACCCAATGACTGGTGTGTATGTGTAGTGAACATAAGCCCTTCTGTGTAACAGCAAGTGACAAATAAATATACACATTTAAGAAGTATGTTCTGATGTAGTAAACTATTTCTGCCATGTAGGTGTCACTGACTTTGCTACATTTCTCCAAGAATAGCCTCAGTGTAGTGAAGCTTCATCTATTGATGAGTAACTGCCAGCCTAACTTGCTCAACATTGCTGTTCATTGTAGCTGTAAAACAAGCCGAGGGGTCGCGATTAGCTTCTGAACTTATCAAATTAAAAAAAACCAAGAGTTTTTTTTCTGTTTACAAAACCAAGCACCAAATCATTCACTTTAATTGGGGGCAGAATTCTTTGAAGAAGTGATCCATTTTACAGTCACGTGGCACTTCACTGTGGTGCTTCAGCCAGACAGCATGAATGGACCTATTGAGCAGGTAGCCGGGTCGGGGGAAGAGTATTAGCTGAGTCACTACAACGTCTCAAAGGTAGTCATTGTCCTGACATCAGAGAATCTACATGAAGGAGGTCGTTGTGGCCCGAATGGCTGTCTCGTGTTTCAGTGGGCTTTGGTGGATCAGGTAATCCTAATTGCTTTGTAAATGCTCTTTTTTGTACCCCCCAAAAAAACCAGGCCTGGAAGCACACTTACATTTCTCTATGTTGTCTACCCAAGTCATGTTCTTCTCGACTATGCAGACAGAAGGGGGAGCGCAGTTCTCCAGTGTCTCATTCCAGAAAGTCTGAGAGAGATGGCAAAAACAGCTTTAAATACAAAGGCAAGAGACAGCACAGTAATTATTAATGCAACTCCTGATGATGAGCTTTCAATGATTGTACACAACATTCCACCTTTTTATAAAGTATGATCTAACAGCAGAATCACTGTGGTCACAATGTGAGAAGGACAATATCAGTCATCAAGAGAAGCAGAGGTAACCATAGCTCGATCATGTGTTTTCACTCTTGTAACTAATAATTTAATGCATGTGGTACAGCTCTTGTTGGTTTCTTACCACGTTTATCTCTGTTTTGCACCATCTTTTGATCATACTCTTGTTCCTGGCTTCTGGGTCATTAGTGGCAATGCCGGTGATAACAGATTTGTCCAGCTAGGAGAAGAGGAATTCAGTTTAATAAAAAGAGATGTTTTTTTTCTTATTTATAATAATGCTGCACCTCCTTGATGGTTTCATGGATACCTCGATGATAGAGTCTGTGAGGGGGTCTGTGATGACGTTGAGCAGGTCGGGGGCATCCTCTCCGCTCTGGATGTTGAATGATTGGATCACAAGTAGGGTGAGTCTGTACAGACCCCTGGTGGCAACTTCCAGGGGCAGAAGAACCAGCACAGACAGCCAGTTGAAGAAGTCGTGGACTGTGGCACCTGCAAATGCCCTGGAAGTGAAGGAAAATGCTCTTGAACCACGGGCCAGAAGCCGTTTGGAGAGTTACTTTAATCTCCATTCATGTTTCTAATAAATACAATGCTCTGATTTACCTGCGGAACTCATTTCGATCTGCTGCCTGCATCATAGCCACAATAGTGTTGGTGACAGATGTTCCTATGTTGGCTCCCATGATGATCGGCACTGCAGACTCCACTTCCAGCACTGAACAACACGAGCAGCATTACATTAATGTGTAACACAGCTGCAGCATGATTACACTAAGATTTTCAGCCCTTTTTCTTGTCTTATATGATCGTAAACTGAACACCTTTTAGGGGCTCTATAATGACTTGCAACCTTACAATCTCTGTGCATGTCTTTGAGTAGACCAGTCAATAAATTTGTGTTAATTTCAAGCGTACGCATGTGTCTTCCATGCCTGTGTGTGTCTACTTACATCCAGAGGACACCATGCTGACCACAATAGAAGAGGAGGTGCTGGAGCTCTGCACGAGCACTGTGACTAACACACCGATGACCAGGCCAGCCACAGGGTTGGACAACACAACATTGTCCTGGAAGATGTCACCAGCAGCTTTTCCTGCACACACAGACACACCCTTGGGTCAAAAACACAGCACTCTATACACATTACATAAGCCTTTTGTGGACATGACATTATCAAGTAAATAAATGTGCAAAGATGGGTGTTTAGCGATAGTGAAATTCTGTTTCTGTTTTTTTTTTTTTGTTTTCTTTTTTTTTTTTTTTTTTTACCTCCAACTAGCTGGAAAGCAGAGCTCATAACATCCAGTGAGCAGATGAACAAGTAGAGAAACCCAAGCAGCAGAACCAGCTTCACAATAGAAGTCACCACTCTCATAATCTTTCCTTTTGTATCCAGCTCTGTAAGAAAAACAAAAACACAAAGTGGTGAATCAGATTCAGGTTTTGTGAAGGTATTTACACTGCAAAGGGCAGTGAGAATGGAGAGCTGCCTCACCTGCCCACTTGACCCCTGTGTCTTTGAGCTCTGGGAGTTCCCAGGGGTCTTCTTCTTCCTCTGGTTCCTTATTGACCAGCACCGCGGTGGAGTAAGCCGGCAGGATGGCGGCATCTTTAGTCGAAGCTTTGTCGTCTAATGTCAGACAGGCGGGAGGAAATGTTAGGAAGAAAGAGTCCCAGCAACAGTTTGAGAAAGTCACCAAAAATAAAGGACCTACCGAGATCAGGGGAGGACTCTGTCCCCACTTGTGGTCTTGGAGCCATGACTGTCTGTTCCAAAAGATGAAAACAACAGATAATTACCTCTCACAATTACATGTATTTAGAAGCAGAACTATTCTGATGCAGTTGATTGTATGGTTGAATCACCGCTAAACAGCTGTGTGACAGTCAAGAAAACACAAAGTGAAATCCTACAGCAACAACTTTATCACTTCTGCATCTGATCAACCAAACACTTTGGAGGCTGACTTAAAAAAAAAAAAACTCACAGAATGAGACAAACACAATCTTGATCACTGTCACAAATACTCAGAATGAAGAAGAAAAAAAATCCCTCCAAACAGCTGGGTTTTTTTTTCTCCAAACACAGGTGCATCTCACACCTCCTGAATCATCCAATTACTCATTTCAGACAAATATCCTCGATCACATCATATTTTCTTTTCTTTTCTACATGTGTCGTGTGTCTCCTGCAGGAGGATGAAAGTGAGAAGAAGCAGCGTACGCACCTGCAGGGTGAACCCGGAGCTGTGAGCTGTGGGTGGGAGGCTTCACCTGAGCTTCACCTGTTGCTCACAGCGAGCCGGAGAGCCGCTTTTATAGCGCAGCGAGGAGCGCACACCCGCTGCGCGCAGTGCAAAGGTCGCGCAGAGTCCAAGTACCTGGACGCTGCATCTGCATGTGGGGGCTCATAAAAAAGCAGAAAGAAACGATTTGGGTGCGTTTTGAAGAGATTGTGTCTGAAGGTGATACATAATTTATAGAGTCGAATGAGGAAAAGAGAAGTTTGGAAAAGTTTATCCGACTTTTTAATTTTAATTTTATTTTTTTAATTCACTAATTTCGACAAGAATAACGTGATGGTCGATTTTAGTAGGGTTAAAGCTTTAAATAAAATAAAACTACACTTTCAGTATAAAATACATCTTGTGGGTTACCACCTGTCTGCAGACTTTTAATCAAAGTGCAGCCAATAAAATCAGGAGAGCTGCCTCCTGGTGGCTGGACATGGAACATGAATCTTCATTTTCTTCTGAATTCTTCTTCAAAGTGAAAATTTCAAAGGCTAACTGCTTTCTCTAAAAATAATCTTTTTTTTTCAGCCATATTGTGCACTTCTCAGTTTGTTTTTTCTCTCTTTCTAGGATCTTTTAAACTGGTCATCTCATGCTGAGGTCCACACAAAGACAGCGAACTGTAATAAGAAGTCACAAACTGACATAATTGAAACAACATTTTAAAAGAAACCCGATGGTCGTTGCAGGTTGTCATGACCTGACATGAAAATACGACATGAAAATTTTAAATACTCATGAGTCGATTGCTTTTGTGTCACACTGGGTTGTGCATTTCACAGTTTATTCATGAATTTATCATAACTTTAGCCAACAGTGAGCGATCCAACTGTTCTAATGTATAGCTCTAGTCGCATGCATCTTATCTAAATCTATTATCTTCACACACAGGGCCGACTGTCCAAGCACACACACACACACACACACTCTGATCATCTCTCTCACACACACACAGGTTTACAGCTGCTTAGATAACATGCACACACACGCACACGTGCAAACACACACACACACACACAGAGACGTTTGTGTGTTTATTGCTTACTGTATTAGTCCAAGATTACAGTGAGAGATAGGGCAGAGATAGGGCTGTAACAACACAGCATATTACATATAAAATAAATGGTGTGAATATGAGTAAATGATTAAACTACAATCTTCTTGCAGTTACTCCCAAAGTGCAATAAAATCATCAGAGTTTTAACGTCACCTCGTAAAAAAAAAAAAAAAAAAAAGAAGGGTTCACTGAGTTGATGGAACTAAATCCACTTTACAGGCTTACAGCAGTTTTCGTTCATCTGAATTCCCTGTAAATATGTTTAAATCTCCAATAACGGATGATGATTATTGTTATTATCGCCGCGCATAATTGGTGTGTAATTCTTGTTTTAGTTTTCCATGTAAGCTCTGGGAGCAGCGACTGATTTTATGGTAGATGTGGGACTTGCTTGAGTGGTGATGATGTTTTCTTCTAAAAACTGAACTTATAATAACTTCAGTCTCTGAAAAAGAACTCCAAAGGCAGCCACAAGAGTCCCTCATGCATTTAATCTACTTTGGTCGCTACAGTTAATTTTATGTGCTCCCTACGTTTTTGATCCCTCTGGATGTTTAGCATGCACACGTCTAAAAAGCCTGTCATATTCTTCTTCTGCCCCTTTTATCTCTTTCAAGAGGCGAACTTGTAAGTGAAAAACACACCAGTAATCTCCACTGAAATGAAATTACAGAAAAAAGGGGGAGGAGAAAAAAAAGGAACTTCTTTTGTTATTTTGCATTTGCTTAATTCGCCTCGGCAGCTAATGAAACTGATCCTGTATCTTGTAGCTTCAAAACAACAGCTCATAACCAGCAATCAATCATTATCCTGCACTGCTTGACTGCTACACAACCAATAAGATGATTGCAGCTGCAGGCTGTATCACGTTCACAGGCCTCAGCAAAACAGCAGGAGCTACAAATAAAAAATTCAAACACCCACACACAAAAAAAAATCTCGCTGACATACAGACTTTGTTGTCTACGAGCGCAACGTGATGAATCCCAGTGGTCCCGATATAAATATAAACGCAAATAATGAATAATACAAATTACATGGCAAAGACCACAGAAACTTTTAACACAATACAAAGATAAAGTAAAACATGAATAAAGCAGCCACACATTTCAAAATAGTATGTACATTATTGATTTTAGCAGCAAATTAAAGCCTAAATTCATGTCAAAGTTTAAAAATATGCAAAAACCAGAATGTTGTTTTGTAAATGAAAGTATTTTGTTCTTTTTCTATATGATAAGAACAGAAATGCATTTTAAATTTTAAATTTTAGCTCAAACTAAACTAAACATGTTGCTCCTACAAGATCATAATTAATGCTTTAACTGGCCAACTCTATTTCTGTGATGTTGTAGCTTTGCAACTCATGGAAAAATGCAATAAAATACAAAAACAGAGATTGATGCTGTTGCAAAAATGCATGCATGGGAGAAGTTTGCCTTCAGGCCTTTCTGCCTGCATTCTGTCATTCAGATATCAGTTGCTTTTTTTGTTAATATTCCTCACGGCTTCATACCCACCACAGTGACAGACAGAGCCACAGTGTTTGCCATACACGTGATTGGACAGTACGTTAAGTGCGAATAATAGCAGAGGTTAGAGCTTTCCTGCTACAACACGATGGACGAACGTGAGCGTGTTCTAGGACTACGTTTTTTTCTCATGTTATTGCTGTTGAATACATCCTGCAATTGAATAGGAATGATTAGGTTACAGCTTTTACAGCAGCCCTCAATCATAAAAAAGCCATATCAAAAAGATGCCTAGTCACTGCATGTGTTTGTGAATGTGTTTTTTTGTGTTTTGTGTGACATTGCATGTCATGTAGTTCTCACAGATGACTCCATCTCCCTTATGTTAACCGTAGGCTTCAGGAAAAAAGCTTAAAATGTGCTTGAAAAGTGTAGATGTGGCGTGCAAAATGTGTCTAAAGTGGTGTAGTTTTGCATAACTCGACAGAATCTGGCAATTTGGCTGCACCTCATAGTTATTTTACTATACGGGACAAATGGTCCGGCTTGTTTTTTTGTTATATATTTTGTTTATTTGGTTTTCACAATCATATTGGACGACAGGGGAGTTTGTTTTGTTGGAATATTTGCATGCAGGGAGGTTAGCACTGTCATTACATTTTTTAATTAATAGCTATTTTATTGATTTATTTAATTATTCTTTTTTTTAAATCAATCAATCTATTCAGTCCAAATGTTGTTTAAAAATTGGAATTTTCAGTGGGATAGTTTGGAATAGAGGCTGTTGTTGTTTCCTGGAGTGAAGAGTATTTCAAAACACAGATAATGGAGAACAAGGAAAAGCAGGTTAAACGCAAACTTATCCCTGAAGTCTACATCCAAAGAGTCAGACTAAAAGTTTTGTGCTGTTTGGACACAATCCAATGAGATCGAATTATTTACTTGCTTTAAACTTTAATTATCTACAGACGCAGACTGTACTGTTGTCCACAATGTGTGACAACGTCCTCCGTCAGGACATCATAAACTTGTGCGCCTTTCTGTTCATATGATTTCAGAAATGTGCCGTTGTTTAAAATGACACATTCATTTTTACTAGATTCAACCTTGTATATTTACTGTTGTAAGGAAAAGTGACCTGAGGTTCATCCACACATGAAGCCGACATGTTCAGATGCTGTCCGATTAATGGAAAGAACTGAAAGGAGTGTAATGCTTGATTAACATTGTGAAATTTAAAAAAAAAATTAAAAGCACAAAAAGGTATTGTTTATGTTGTTCTTTTTCATTATTCTTGCATGTTTTAGTTTCTAAATCTATTTTAACAATGCTATTTTATTTCAGTTTCTTGTAAAACATTTGAACTGCAGTTGATTTGTTTGAAAAGTGCTAAATTGTGACTAAATAATTGATTAAAAGCATCAATTTTAACTCAAACCACAATCTTTTTCTTAGCTTGAACAAATAGTTTCACCAAACTGGAACTGAAAATTGTTTAAAAACAAAAACAAACAAAACAAACAACCCCCCCCCCGAAAATATGAAGTGAAATAAGTGTAGAAATGACAACTGAACATAAACATTTGGTTCTGCACAGAACACATACAGCCGTTTCCTGGGTGAAAGTCCTGCGTTTGACCAGTTTATCCACCGCTGTCTCCTCCCTACATGGACTTTGTCAGTCTTTAAACTTCCCAAAGCTTCAGCCAGAAAGCCCCGAAGGCAAATCGAGCTGGACTTTAGTATTTTTGTCATCCGCCCCCAACGCTGTGACAGTCGCAACGATGAAGCAACATTAAATACGTTGTCGTAGAAACCAGGGCAACATGGTGATATCAGGCTTTCCTTAAAACATATTAAAAAACCATGTTCAATCCTGTTTTCTTATTTTTTTCTGTGCCTCTAATCAGATACAACACAAATCTGAATCCTACCACATAACTCGAGCTGTAATAATGTTCTGAATTTAATAAATGACAAATATTTCTCTTGTGAGAGTCTTAAATCACCGATACATTTTCCTCATTTCATCGAACATCACATCATTTCACCCGAAGTAACTCTTCGCGGCTCATAATTAGCTGGTAGATAAAAGACATAAAAGACAGGTGTGGCAAATTATCATGAGCTGATTATTGATTAAATATCTATCTATTTATCTCTGATAATTGCCTGTGTGTGCCTGCGCCTAGAGGCTCAGCTTCTGTGCAGTTATGAGCAGTAACATTCTGCATAATAGGAATGGGATTGTCTCCAGAGGTGGTTCTGGATGCGACCTTGACCCCTCTGCAGTGTACACAGTAATATAAATACGAAGATGCTTCTTAAAGAGGCGATATTTTACAGTTTGCCGAGTTATATATTGACCAGCCCTTTTGGTTTGTTGCAATGCTTTCGCCCCATGTGACTTCAGGAGACCCACATATGATGGAAAGATCAGCCACGGCATACCTTTAACCTTTGGAATGCTGCTTTCATTGCCCCTCCACCCACATGCTGATCAAAATACTTCATGGTCATGCCTGTGATTATGTATTTCTGTCTTGTCTTCACCTTAAATGAAAAAAAAACAAACATTTTTCCGCTCTCTTGTTTTCCACACTCGTATCATCTCCATTCTCCCCGTGGAAGACGGTAGAAAGTATTCTCCTCCGCCTCCTATAAAGCATCTGAAATGCTTTGTTTTGAGATTGTTATGGCATCAGAGTCAATGATTGCCTGAAGCTCCTCTGAGTTGATGCCGCCTATCTGCCATGCTGGCACAGTCCACAGAGGGTCATACATTCTGCCCTCATGTTAAGGCCGAAGGCGGCGGGAGGGGGGTGCCCTGTACTACTACGCTGTGTGTAGGCTGTGCCGCAATCTATAAAACCATAAAACTCAGCTGTTAGAACTCGTCCAAACTGGTTGAAAGGCCGGTGAGATCGAGCAGCTATCAGGGCCAAAGTGACAGACACTAGATGCGATGGAAAGTCTGTGTCTCTCTGTGGGTTTGAACTTTTTAGTCCAAAAAGACTGTTTGAAAGAAACAGAATAGTTTGAATTTTCACTGCAGAAGAGCAGTGATAATGACATCATCCACCTCGACCTTTAGCAGCATGGAAAGCCCCTTATTGCTTAAAACAACATGCATCTGGACGAACACCTTCACGTCTTACGCAAATGTACAGTTAATATTTTGTAGAAATAAGGAAAAATGTTTGTGCTGACTTGAGTGAGACCCTGCTGCCTCCACATGGCCACAGTGTAAATTCAAAGACTCTAAGCTGCAGAGAATTATTTTAAAATCAACTTTTTAAAGGCCTCGAGAACACATAGTGCAAAAATTACAATTATACTTGAGGGACTGCATGTAATTGCGGCTTCAGCAATGTCCTCTTACTTTGTCCTGCATGTTACACGTACTATACTGTGTCAAAGGTGGACTTGAGTATCAGTAGAGGTTTGGTGACCCTCCTCAGACACTGAGCCACTGAAGAAATAATTAACAATTCAAACATTTTCACCAAGACGTACCAAAAACTGTATTAGACTATTTTAACAGTATATTCATTTTGTAAGAAAAAATAATCATTACATCTTTATTTTTAGATACTATTTGGCTTGAACTGATTGAGCAAAAAGCTAATTTGGATTCAATTTGTTACTGTAGTTCTTTAAAAGTACACATTCAATTTAAAATATATATATATATATATATATCAGCGTAAACCCTCACTAATGTTATTTAAAATCATGTTTAGTTTCCTTGACATAAACTCATATATTATGTTGCATTTGCATCTTGACCACCAGTAGCCTTTAAAATCTTACCTTGGTTAATGATCTGTCAAAGCAGCTATCTGGGTAACAAAAAAAAAGTGGTGTAAGAGCATACAGAGATTAAATACCTGTGCAGCCCAGAGTTGTGTTTGTAGACTCGTTCAGTCTCCATATGGCTCCATTTACTGGATGTGTTGCCTGCACAGCAAACCTGACAGGGAAAAAGCAAAACAGCATCAATATTTTAGAACTTCTCCTAATTTTCTTGGCTGGACGGTGGGAGAATGATATTCGACATGACTTCAGTGAGAAAATCAACAGTTGTAAAAGTGAGCAGGGCAGAAATACGATTTGGAAACCAGTGGGAATTCCGCTCATGTTTAAACCTAATTACAGTCGGAGAAGTCACACATGTGGCAGAGGTTCCAGCAGTCACCACTGCAGATCTTCTCTCCGCTGGATGAAGCTGCTGTGAAGTTCCCTCATGCACCAGCAGATGGGGACAAGTAAATATCAAAAGCTTTGTGTTCATGTCGGGGTTAGAAGCAAAACTGGACTCACCGATTTAGCCTCATTGTTTGGTTTCACACACCGTCTGCAGGAGGCTGCGATAAACTTTCGCTTAAGGTTGGAAAACAGGGAAAAGTGGTGGTGTTCATATCTGAGGCAGCCGTTCCATCACTCAGCAATCTTCTGCTGAAAACAGTTTGGGCACAGAAACACAAATTTACATTTTAGGTACTTGCATGGCATTGCAGAAACACTTTATACTCACCTAGCATTACCTGATGACTTCAGTTGCTTTGATATCTGGGGGAAAATTCACAGCCTCACATGGAAGTCTATAATGTCATTAAAATGGGCTTTCACCAGCTGCAACATTAAAGTGAAAGGACACATTAATGCAACTATAATCCAGCATCATAACATACAACAGTCTCAAATACTGTAGGTCGACTGGTATAATGAGAAGATCTACTCTTGGTAGCCACATGACATCTGCTTCAGCTGATGACAGAAACATCCTTTGCACTGCAAAGAACAAAGGTGAGCAACATCAGCACCAGTAGAAAGAGCACAGGCGTATCATGATCTACGATTCGTGACTTTGACGGCTGCACTGCAAGATGCTAACTTTTATAAGAAGCAAGAATCAAAAGGCCAGAAAGCACAAAGGCAAGCTAGAAACAGTCCAGACTTTCATGGCCAGATGAGACCGACACGGGTATTTACCAAAGTGAAAGAGAAAGACAGGGAGGGTCAATGGTCTAAACCATCCCACCTCCTCAGTGAAACACAGAGGTCATGTCATGGCCCGGGCACGGAGCTGATGCCGCTGGAACCGACTGACTCATAGCACGATGAATTCAAAAGTGCAAAGCAATTCCTGGACCTTCACACCGCAACAACACGATGACCTCAAAAGCACTGCTTGTGCAACCCAAACTTTTAATGGTGTCAAATAAAAATTAAAAAAAAAAAAAAAGCTGGAAGGTCTCAGACTGGCCGAGACTGTCATCACATTTAAACCCTCTTGAGCAGTTTATCTGCTGAAAACAAACATGAGCTGCAGGCAGCTGCTTTGAAGGCTTTGAAAAGCATTTCCAAAGAAGATACTAAAGGTTTAATTTTGTCAGCGAGCAGCACACTGGATGCTGCCATTGAACCAGATATTGGACTTTATCACTTTTATTTCCTTTGACATTCATCTGTTAATTTGACTCAATTTTCGCTCATTCAAACAGAGTTGCGAGTTTCGGGATGAAAAAAGTGAATTAAAGCGCTGATGAATTCACAGCCTTTATTTGTAGAAAACCTTTCAAAGCTCCCGTGTCTTCATCAGAGTTCTGAGAAGCATCTGATTCGAGTGCATTTTGCTCTAAGAAGTGCTGAGAACCCTGTTTTTATTAAAAACTTATTGGCTGGTCATGTACCTTATCTAATTATCGCTCTCTATCAGGCTAAAAATAACAGTCTGTTGTGAGAAACTGGACGTGTATTTGTCAAAGGTTGCTGTTATCTGATGCGGCGGACTGCTGAGGTCGTGCATCAAGGTAACCTATTGCTGCTATTTATCTGATGTAAAACGCTGCTTTCCAGCTCGGCTCCCACCTGCGTGCATCAGACAGCGTGTTCACCGGTGCCGACACTTGGCCGACCTTGGTAGTGATTGATAGGAAATGTTAATTCATAAGTCCTCCACATGCGCCAACGGGCAGTCATCCCTCTTTCTTCTTATCGCACAGCAGGAGAGATGAAATATGAAGTGGCACCACAGAGATAATTCTACAGCTTTCTTGGGTGTTTTTTTAGAAGGATGTGTTTGATTGACATAAAGGATTGATTTTGTTTAGAAGGAAGGCCTGAGCTTTTATATCTAAATGAAAATCACACAAACCGCACTGTATGGAATCAGTGTGATATTACCATACGCAAGAAACACACTGGCTTTGTAAGTATTTCACTTTTAACCATTTATTATTGAAACATATTGTATCTTCTCAGTTTCTAATGTTTTTTACAGTATGACTGTTTCTGACCTTGATGTGAAACTTGGAAATGAGTTCACTCCACATGGAGACAATACTGACGTGGGATCTCATTATCTTTTGGAGTTGATCAACTTGTGGCCAGCAGATCTTCAGTATTTAAGCATGACCTGGAAAAAAGAAAAGAAAAAAAAGGGGGGAAAAAAAAGCATGATTTATTGACAGATGAAATGTTTTATGTATCAGTGACGTTGGCTGCAGTGCATCCCTGTGTCTCTACAGACAGATTCACTCAGAGGTGAGGTGGTGGTGTGGATCAAACAGGGCAGAGAACAGAACTAATTTACCTCGCTGAGCCAGTCGGTGAAGGCTGACGTGCGGGTGAAGACGGTGGGCTTCTTCACTTCATTGCAGACGCTGGAGGAAACGAAGCTGGTCACGCCCTGCACGTACCACCTACCGTCCTGACCCAAGCAGTTCAGAGGACCGCCAGAGTCTCCCTGAGAGAGAGAGAGGAGCAAACACAGGGACCTTATTTAACCTTGTTCATGGCAGGCAGTTCAGGTCGGACAGCTGCTCTCTGTTGATGCCTCACACACATTGCATCCAGATACGACGTCTCCTCCTGCACAGACCATGGTGGTTTTGGCGTTGATGCCCCACCAGTCGCTGCGGCTGCAAACGCTGTGCTCCACAACGGGCAGCAAGGCCTGCTGCAGCTTATCGGGCATGGGGCCGTGGGCTGAAACACAGAGGACAGAGCCGCTCAACAACACAGAAATACATCAAATACTGTATCATGCATGTGTCAGGCAATAATCACTGGTGGACAAACTGTCACCAGTGACTCATCACTATTACTCAGAAAAGTAACTGCCTTGCTTTACTAATGAAAAAACCAGACTGTTACACTTTGCAACAAAAACTTGAGTAGAGCTGATAGAGGCTGTTTTGACAAATGATTTAACTAAACTGACTCCTGAATGCAGCCGTAGCCTTTGCTAACGTTACCAAGACAGTCAAGGACAAACAAGATGTCAATAGACTTTTGTTCTTCTTTGCTTTTACTTTTTGGGGTTTTACAGCAGTTGACATCCTCTAAGTTGCATTACTGCCCCCTTCTGGATTTAGTGCTCGCTCATCTGCTTATTCAACTTCGATGCCAAAAAGTTTTTTTATTTCCAGGTTTGCTTGCAACCACTCTGAAAGTGTCTTATGGGTTTCCCTTGCTGGCTATAGCCACACTTTACCATTTAAAATGTCTATGGAAATGGCGTAACAAAAATAAAACCCTTTCTAAGAATCTAGGCTTTGACTTTAAAAGTAGAAAACATACAGGGCCTAAAATGCTAGAACACAAATCACAACACTGTAACTTCTCTGCAGTTGGAGGAGGTTGACGGTACAAATGTCTATTTTATAAACGTGTGCAAATCAAAAAATGCTTTTTGGGCCTTCTTGGTACTTTTTCATTGCAATACCACAAATGACCACTGGGAAAAGTTGCAGCAGCATATCAGCTCCTAATACGGCCATGTTTGGAGTCAC